ATGTTAGTTAGTGATTATATTTGTATGTAGGTTGCAGGGGTGGGCAGCACTAATCTAAAAATTTGTTCCACTAGCCCTAAAACACTAACTCAAATATTAAGGTCCCCTTATTCTAAAGCACTAACGCACTGAAAGTTTTAGCAAAAGTTAATTCTGAAGCACTAAAATAACCCAGTCAACCCATGAACATTCTTCAACAGACAACATGAGTCACATATTGTCATGTTGCTCTCTTAAGACTTATCAATGACATTCCACAGCTGTGTTTGGGTTCATATATTGACAATATATTGTCACCTAGTGACACGTATGAACAAAATGTGTGACAGCTTTCACCCTCAGCTGTTAGCATTAACGTTGATCAATAACATTTGTAGACCTCAGTTAGTGCTTCTAAATTTTGGCTATAAATTAATCCACTAATAATTAAAAAAATTAGCAAAAGCTCTAAAGCACTAATCAGAAAATTAATTCCCCTATTAGTGCTTTAGTGCTTTAGGGGGACTGTGCCCACCACTGGTAGGTTGCACGATCTGTATTTTTGTGTTTGTCCGGTTATAGACTTACAAGATAAGCTCCTAAATTCAAAAGCCTAAACTGGTCAAAACACAGTAGGAGTAGATAGACGGTGGATTATATACTAAATATTGTTAAACATCCATAGTTTCATTTTTGGTAGTCTATTCAGTTGGATCTCAGATTCTTGTGAGAAAGTCAAAAATTGGTTTCTAAAGAATTTGACCATTTAAATCTATTATAAAACAACAAATATATTTTTTCTTTTTTCTAGTTGGGATGTCTGATGGGTTGAATGTCTCAGCTTGTAATGTCTCCTGCCTGGAAGATGACATCAAAGCTCTGATTTTAGAGCGAGATCAGCCCCGTCAAATGGAAAATAATCATCTTAAAAAAATAGAGAAACTGAGTCAAGAGAAAAGTCAACTGATTCAAGAGAAAAATCAATTGGTTCAAGAGAAACAGTGGGAGAAAGAGCAACTAATTCAAGAGAAACAGCAACTAACTCGAGACAAAGACAAGCTGGTTCAAGAGAAAACTCAATTGGTTCAAGAGAAACAGCAACCAATTCAAGAGAAACAACAACTAACTCAAGATAATCAATTGGTTCAAGAGAAACAAAAACGAATTCAAGAGAAAAAGCAACTAACTCGAGACAAAAACAAGCTGGTTCAAGAGAAAACTCAATTGGTTCAAGAAAAACAGCAACTAATTCAAGCGAAACAGCAACTAACTCGAGACAAAGACAAGCTGGTTCAAGAGAAAAATCAACTGGTTCAAGAGAAAAATCAATTGGTTCAAGAGAATCAGCGAGTGGTTCAAGAGAATCAGCGAGAGACAGAGCAACTAATTCAAGAGAAACAGCAACTAACTCGAGACAAAGACAAGCTGGTTCAAGAGAAAACTCAACTGGTTCAAGAGAAAAATCAAATGGTTCAAGAGAATCAGCGAGAGACAGAGCAACTAATTCAAGAGAAACAGCAACTAACTCGAGACAAAGACAAGCTGGTTCAAGAGAAAACTCAATTGGTTCAAGAGAAACAGCAACTAATTCAAGAGAAACAGCAACTAACTCGAGACAATCAATTGGTTCAAGAGAAACAAAAACTAATTCAAGAAAAACAGCAACTAACTCGAGACAAAGACAAGCTGGTTCAAGAGAAAAATCAACTGGTTCAAGAGAAAAATCAAGTGGTTCAAGAGAAAAATCAAGTGGTTCAACTAATTCAAGAGATAGAGCGAAAGAAACGGCAACTAATTCAAGAGATACAGCGAAAGAAACACTGTAACAGATTTGCGTAAATTTATGTTGGATTTTTTACAGTATCATATTTCATAACAATAAAATACTGCTAAATGACTACACCTAATGTTAATTTACAATTAAATTGGTTGAGCAGTAACGGTAGTTAACTGTATATTTAACAGCATAATGCAGTATTTTTTTCAAAATGTGGGAACAATAAAACCGCTTACAAGTCCCGCCAATATCTGTTAGAATCTTTTCAAATGCTGTCGGCTGCTGCATCTGTTAATCAATCAACTCAGGATTCATTTTTGAGTGACATTTGTTTGTGAGCTTGTTTTGCACTTCTGCTTTAGTGTACAAGTTCAGAAGGTGGGATTATGTGTCCCCAATGAATTGTTTTGTGAGTGAATTGTAGCATTTGCCAGTGACATTGTGCTGCTCTTTTGTTGTTTGTTTTAGAGGCTCTAATTATTCGTATGGGCGATAGTAAAATGCTGCAGTGCAACCATTTTTAAGTGTTAGTAATAAAACTTGACATTAAGAAATTTGTCCTTTTGTTCTGTGAATAAAAAAATCTGATTTATTTTTTATTTTGTAAAATTGGATGGATTCGTGGGAATTTGCAAGTTTCTCTTTATTTTGCAAATTGATAAATTACACCAAAACTAGTAGTTTACTATAATCCAAAATACCGTTATACACTGTTAAAATAAATGACAGTACATAAACTGTAAAATAACAATATAATGCGGGTGACGCTCCTAACAGTAATTTACTGTTATTTTACAGCTACTTTACTATAATCCAATTTATAGTAATATAAAAAGATTAATTTATTAATATAAAAAGATATATAAAAGTTCCGGAATTGTGCCGCTGAGGGTGGCAGCACGTTGGAGTAGCTCTGTTACTTTTATTGAGATTTTCTTTTCTTTTCAGGCGTTCATTCCTGCCTTTCTGCAGAAAAAGTAACTTTTTTGGACGCCTGTTCATTTGTGTTTTGGGTGCTGTGCAGCTGGATTGGTTTTGCCAATACTTTTTTTATACTTTGCTTTTTTGTTATGATGCATAACCACAGCAACAGAGTGGTTTACAACAGGGAGCTGCTGATTAATATTGCAAAATCTGAAATAATACATCAACTGAAGCCACAAATCCCAGAGGAGTTGAAAAGGAGGCATCGTGGACGCAGAGCTGGAGCAAAGAGGCGAGAGAGAAGGAGGAAGTTCAAACCATCACTTCCTTCAATCCTAATGGGCAACGTGAGATCATTAGCTAACAAACTGGATGAACTTCAAGCC